GGAAAAAAACCTGGTTTTACCTCTCACAAAGCCTTTGAAAATGCAGTACATGACTCCACTTCTTCTAAGCAGTATCTCAGGTTCACCAAGACGCAATTTGAAAAAAAAAACCAACAAACATTAAAATTAAGACAATGTTGTAAAAACTGCAAAATTCCTTGAATTTCCCATGTAGAATATGTAGTTCGAAACAGCATAATTACTAAGTATCTATTCAAGTGAGTCTACAGATCTATTAGCTCTATACAAAACAGTTCTATTGTAAGACTGGTACTGAAAAAAATTGCGTACAAAGTTTTGAACAAGTTCTTGGTCATTTAATACTGGGATACGATATTCTAAATGTAAACCCATTCTGCAAGCATCTTTATGACAGAAGCAATCCATCCCATTATGTTATAGTAGAGAACTGTGTAATCTTCTTGGAGAGAGATTAATGAACAAACCCTTTTTTGTTAGAGCATAGATTAAGCTTAAAATTAGTTAAAACATTCAAATCACCTAGCTTTTCTTGGCAAATCACATTTTAAACCTGTCTTAAGGTCTGTCAAAAGTCTTTTGAGTAGTCTAGTCTAACCCCTGGCCTGCTTGGCAACTGTTCTCTTGTCCAGCGTGTTTCAAAGACCTGTGGACGTAGAATCCCCCAAAATTTTAATCAAGAGCATTTTAATGTTGTCATTGGAAAATTTGCTAATATTTGCTAATAATGAGTCTACATTTTCTTTGATGCAGTATGACAACATTGGTTTTTTATCTACTACAGACAAGAGGATAAACAGAAATTTCATTATTTCTTATGGCTGACCACAGAAAGCAGCTCAGAAGATTTCAACGTATTTTCTAGTTCACACTATTTACTTTATCTACTGACTAAAACTTTAGCATATTTAAATGTAGAAAATGTACTGTGATCTCAAACAATATTATATAGCAGTTTGACTTCATTTAATTCTGGTCTAGGATAAAGTGGACATTGATCTATTGCGTAGCAATAATTTCACAGAACAACATGAAACTGCATCAAGAAAACCTGATTCAATATACTTCAGAACTTACATTGCAAAGGCACTAGATTTTTCCTACACAGTAGGAAAAGTGTCAGGCAATGCTCTATTGAAAAATGCAGTTTATTACCTCCTGCATACAAATACACATTTGCCAAGTTCACTGTTTCAGTGCCATGTTGACACATTCAGAAATGATTGATGCTTCTGTATTTATAAAAACTATTGTACAGTACCTGAGTTGCCAAATACAGTAGCACAAAGAAAAGTTCATTTGCTTTGGACTCCACAACCGAATTCTTATCTCTAAATTTCCCATTCAACCAGACAAGCTGCTATCTTGTTCTATGTCATACATGGTCACTTTTTAAAGGGTTATGAGCTCTCTTGTGGAAAAACAGTGAAGTGACACAAGATCTGCTATTCTGTTGCACAGCGCTCCATATCACCGCAGATCAGGTTTAAAAAGCTTTCTTTTTTAAGAAAGCTATCCCCATTTACAGCTATCCCCATACAGTGCTCACAGTCTTTACCTCAAATATTAAGAAATACTAAAAAGGCAGAAATGTACAAGAATGTTATCCTATCAAAGTAACTGTCTTGACACACGATTAGCATACAGCTCAAGTTCTCTAGTCACCTTTCCTGACGGAAGAATGACTTACTGCTCTCCATAATGTCTCTCCCACTTACCAGATTAATATCTTATTTAACTTTACTCTCACCTATCCTTCTGTTCTCTTACCAATCCTCAAAGGTATTAAAAAGAAATAGATTCACAATGAAAAAAGGAAACATGCATTCTGACACACCCTGAAACATAAGGAAAAAACTGTAACAGTATTCACTAGGAAGAAGTACACAAGTGGTGCAATTTGCACCATATAGCTTGACCTGACCTAAGAGACATGGAATTTTTGCAACATTTGAAAATTGCCTATAGTTACTACCAGCAGGCAGCAGTTACAGACCCATAGAATTTTGAAAAACATTGGACGGTGACAAAGATATGTCAATATATATATGAATTTACTTTCATGTAAAGATACATGCAAACACATACAGTTAAGAAACAGGCAGACAGCTGCCTCATTTCACCAGTACAGTCATCCTAAAGTATTTGGTAGATAGCTGCCCTGAAGACTCAGGGTCTCTGCAGTGTATTTAATGCAGAGTGAAAACACACCTCTGAAGACCTCGAGAGTCAGACACAGATTATTTATTTTAACTGCCTACTTCTCTTTACTGAATATGTAAGAAACTGAGAGAAAATATTAGCTATTTGTTCTGTTTGGATCCAGTCCACCCTTTTAGGTCAAGACATCCAGCCTCAACATATTTTGAAAAGAGGTACATGACAGCAGTGACAAAGTCCACGACATCTGCTCCCTTTTGTACACACCTCAACAATTCTCTTCACACCTTCTGCCCAGCTCCTGAGAGGTCTGTCCAGTTGCCAAAGTAGCAGAAGAGGTAATCATACTCTTAACTACCCAGCCCAGCCTCATCGAAATATAAAGGGAATACCTAAAGATCTGGTGATGAGATAGACACCCTGTCATACAACGATTCAGACTGTAAAGGACCTTAAGTAGGTCTCCAGTCCAAACTCCTGCTCAAAGCACCATCAAAACTGAATTCAGACCAGGTATAATGTCCTACTATGTTCCTAGCATTCAAAACTGAAAAAATATCAGCGGTATCCTATTATGGTTTCTGAATCTGAAATCATTTAGCTTGAATTTTAGTTAGCAATGATTGGAATTTTTCAGTAAAGAGTGGCATGTCCGACAGCATGTTTTTCCATAAATAACTACTTCAAGGTTACACAAGGTTTTAAATCTAAATAATACCAGAATCTATGGAACATTCTCTCTCAATCATACTTCTTTACATAAAAGGAAAACAAAGATGAAAGTACTCCAGACTAAAGCATGTACTTCAAAAATATGTGAAGTGTATAAGGTATATAAAATAGATATACTTTAAAGTATAAGTATTTTAAAAATATTTGTTTAAAAGCAAATGATGAAAGACAGACAGTGGGAGAATCAGTGTAGGCTACATATTTGGGAAGGATGGCTTGCATTCCTGTAATAAGAAGTGCTTACACGTGTTTCACCAAAAAAAATAAATACTATAATTCTCAAGCAGTCCTGAAACTATCCCACTAGAGGGAGGACATATAATCACTAAGCTACAGAGGCAGGCTTCTTTCTTTGCATTACTGCTTCTTGAATTTCCTTCCACACTGTAAATTAGCACTGCTAGGAGAGTTAAAAGTGAATATGTCTCATATTAGCCTCTGACATGGTGTTCAGAGAATCCCCCTGGGCTGACAGGCCATAGAGTTTTAATGTGTACTAGCTGAGAAGGGCCTGGAAACAAACGCCTGAATAACCACTCAGATTATACCAGAGGGATTCACAACTATTTCTCCTCAAAGGCATATATGTATCCCTGTCTTTCAGGGAGAATTCATCGATGAGGGAGACGCACCCTGCAGGCATTCTGAAAATACCCCACTGACTAAGCCCCACAGGACATAATAGCAACAGAAATACAGTTTTGGGGTCCTTATTTCATTTAATTTCATTATAATATCATTTAAGTTCCATTTTTGTGAAGACTGAGAAATCTTGGAATTGCACAAGTATATTATCTAGGTAGCTAAGGGGTTTTTTTGTGCACTGGTTTTTCTTTCGGGTTGGGGGAAAGGAGGAGATCTTAAAACACTGAGGCAAAGAGTACAGCTCCCACTTACGTGAAGTACAGTTAGTCACTGAGCTCTGCAGAGTCTACAGCCCTAGGTCAGAAAGCAATACAAAATATTATACTCTTATGGTACGAAAAAAGCTAATACACACAAGTTGAAAAGAAGAAAGAAGGCAGAAGAGAGCAAGGGAGAGATTTCTTTGCACATTTTACCAACGATCTCCTGATCATAACACTCATTGACAGCTGCATTAAGCAGGCTAAATGGCAAAACTCCCAGAAGGTAGAGAGCAACTCCAAGTTGTTTTTAGCATTAGACAGCCTAAATTTCAAAAAAGGGAAGTCTTTAGAACTCCAAAGTCAACTTTTCTGCCCATTTTATGACCCTATTCTGCTAATCATTTCAACTTCGCAGGTTAAAAACAACAGTCACCAGAAGGACAACTTACCAAGCCTGTATGAAGTTACCATGTTATCCTGTCCAATCAAGTGGTCATAAAGGTCATAAGTACATATTAATAGACAAAAAACAAGACTGTAGGACTTTGTCCTCAACACACGTGAACTGTATATATCCCTTTCTACCACTTATGATCTCGTATCGCCGCTGTTCTTCAGATCTTCCTAGCTCCTAACCAATTTCTGCATTTACTTATACCTTATTAAATCAGAAAAAAATGAACAGTATAAGCAGGGTAATTGTGAATAGGCAAGCCCAACACCAGTCCAAATAACTATTATTTATGTGATATCTTCCTACTTATGCATTAGAACAACTATTGCTCAACCTACATTTTTTTTCAATAGGTTCTAGAAACTCAAAAGCTTACAAAACTAGATCCCAAAAATGAACCTCAAAACCAAGCTACCCAAGTACATCTATTAGAAAAAGACAAAGAATATGGTGGGTGGGAATACTCTAATAACAAAAATCTCTCTTTTGTAGCACTCCAGGCATTAATTTTGCATTTTAGTATCACCTAAATTAAAGAAGTTCAAGAGGAATGTCAAGTTACTGGTTTTCAATTAAAATCAAAGAATCTTACTAAAATAGTGTCTTACTGTTTCACAAATTATATTTTTTAAATATGTTTGTGAAAATTTCAAAAGCAATGCAGTTCTTAATCACTTGCCTTATTTAACACTCCTTATTTGAAAGCATAAAATCATAGTGAAAAGCTAAAAATTAACAGATGACTTTTATTACATGCATAAAATAATCAAAGACGAAAATCAAGAAAAGCATGAAGAAGTTTGGAAACAAAAAGCAGAAAGCCTTACCTTGAAAAGCAGCTGCATTACGAGATATTAAAAATTTTAATGCAGCACTTGATGTTTGAAGCACTTGCTGTATATCTTGCTTTGCTGCAGTCTGATACCTTTCTTCCATCGTTTTAGTACAGCATGTTGGATTTCTAGAAGTACAAACCTGGAGATCAACACCTAAGGAGAAGGTAATAAGGTAATTACATTGATTAATATAAACCAGAAGTATGCAAAACACAAACACATAGAAAACAGCTACTCTTTTCCTTTTTTTTTTCACATAGGTATTGACACATAAAAGAAATACTCAAAACTTTAAAGACATTTGGTTTCCTTAAGCAGAAGGCGATACTAACTAAAATTTCATGGGAAGACTACACTTAATACAGTTAATAATGTCATATAATATAATTTCCCTGACACTGCAATCTTGTTCCAGTTGTGGATGTTGATACCTAGTGTTGGTAAAATATATTGAATATGCATTGTACATCACTATACAGGTGGTAGATGTCCCATCCCTGGAAACATCCAAGATCTGCTTAAATGGGGCTCTGATAAACGTGATCTAGTTGAAGATGTCCCTGTTGATTGCAGGGGCTCAGACTAGATGACCTTTAGAAGTCCCTTCCAACCCAAACTATTCTGTGCTTCTATGATCCTCCAGAATACTGAACTGCTGGACCAGCTCAAGGCTCTTGTGCTTCTTTAGCTAACTACTGCTAAATATTACAAACACACCAGCGGAAATCCCATTCCCTACAGATCATAACAAATATGCCCATATTAACTTTTATATGGAGCAGTCCTAAACTCCAGTCCTTTACTGTGTCTTTCTCTAACATCAAACGTTCCCATGTATCCATCACGCTGACTCACTCCTTCATTAATAGGTTGGGAAGTGTTTCCAGAAAGAAGTATGTTTTCAAATTTTGGGCACAATGAAATTCCAGAGGAGCAATTCAGTACTTTTATAACTTTAAAACTGAATAATCAAGCATGAAAAGACCTTATTCACCTTCCTTGTTATCGTGTGGTATTTAAAATCTTTTTTTATATATACTATATCTAAACAATGTTTTCTAAAATAAGGAACAAACACATAATGAATGAAGAAATATGTGAGAATTTAAATTATATTAAAACAAAATCTAACAGTCCAATCCTAATTCTGTTCTCAAATATGTTGTTTCACTGACAGGTATCACAAGATTTCTAGCAAGCATCACTCTTTCTTTATAACAGGTAAAAAAGGACGATTATGATTGAAATGAAAAAGGTAAGAAATTAAAAAGCCAACTTAAATCCACATTGCCCTTGACTCTGCACCTACTTTCAGCTCTTACACCACCTCTGGGTACCTAAACTTTTATTTTCCTACCACTAAACCTACAAGATTTATCATTCCTTTTAAATCATGTTTGCAATTTTTTCTCTGATAAATCATTCTAAGACAGTATGAACATGCCTATAGGGAATGGGAGGCCTTACACACTTTGTATTCTAAATATTCTGTTAGTTGTCTTAAGTAAATTAGGTGTTTTAAAAAATATATTCCAGAAACTTAAGAAGGAGAAGTTAAGCTACTGAGGGTTGGATTGGAGCATTCTAGAAGAATGGCGAAATGTTTAAATACATTATCTCAAACTCATGTCCCTTTATCTATGTGTAGCACTTCAGCTAACAGTGAGAAAAAGTGTAATTATTTACATACAGCAATCCCAATTCTAAAGCAGGAACCCATTGTGTTAAAGAAGATACAGAAGATTTATTAGAAATCAAATCTAAAAAAGCACACGACCAGAATGAAATTGGTAAATTATATGGACCATTAAAAAAAAGTAGAGTTATCAGAGTCCTTGATGAACACTTTACTCTACAATACTGCACAGAGATAATTTGATTCCCATGACAAATAAACAAATTTCCCTTGCTAATTGCAAATAATAGTCTCAGATTTGCTGAATATTTCCTTCTAGCATCATTGGTTTCTACCTTCACAATTTCTTGTCACTCCATCATAAAAATGTGAAAAGATGTGGAAAGGAGAATACATTTAAACCTTCAATATTAAAGACTGCAGAATTTCTCTTAATTTTTAAAGGATCTTTTCTGTTTCATGCTTTAGGTTATATGATATAAGTTTTCAGGTAAAACTAATTTGTTTTAGTGAGAAGTGATGCTAGGATTGACATAATTCCATATTTATGAAGACAAAAGTTTGACTATATATACAAGAACAGTTTACTGCCCATGGTAAAAATGTGTGCCTTGAAGTAAACCCATTTTGCAGACATAAGCTGCAGTAAATATCATTATGATATAGGAAAATCATTACATACCTTAAGAAACTCTACAACAACACAGAATTCACAAGTCTGACATTGCCTTCACGGTGGCATGCAAAAGTAAGAACATAACCTCTGGATGTGAACATTAACTAAAGCAAGTGCTATCCCTGTAAATCTCTTTGAAGTGGTTTGCAGTAGCAGTTTAACACACAGGGATTGGTACACCTACAAGCCACAGTGCAGGAAGCTGAACACCTTCACTAGCACAACAAAAAGTTAAAACTCTAATGCAGATATGAATCACTGAACTTCTGTGAGTAAAAAATTTTATTTCTTAAGTGTTATACTATATCTTTTTTCCTTGTATAGCCTAATTTTTTGAAGGCTATTTATCCTCACAATTTATTTAAAAATATAAATTTCTATGTTCTTCAGTATGCACATTTTACAAAGTCATTTGTTCTGTCTGGCTCCATACATTTTATAGGGACAAAAACCACTAAACAAATAAATGATAATATAGATAACCAAGAGATAACCCACTGCTTCTATACTGTTCTGAAAAGAGCTCTCTCTACTCTTCCTTCAGTGTGCTCTTTCAGTTTACCAGTACTGCTGAGATACCTCAGGATCACTTTGGCTTCTAAATCCTTTTATTCTACCAGATGCTGGAAACAATTATTCTAAACCTGCTTCTCTAACTTCCAATTTCACAAAGCATCCTGAGAACCCTGGTACACAAAATTATATATTTATACATAAATATTTATTTTATAGCACAATTCTTAGTAAATTTTCCTATTTCTTGGTTTCATATTTTTGAAGTTGGATATGCCTAGCTACCCTTAAATTCTTCTTAACCTCAGAAAATTTTAAGTATGATTATAAGAGCCCAACAAATCTCTTAGAATAAGAAACACAGCAGTAGCTTGAACTAGAATTAAATGAAAGAAAAAGGTAAATTAATCTAGATTAATTAAGCCATGTCTGCAGTAGGACTTTCTTCTGTTCTTCTTCACAAGTTGAAAACATAACTATGAAGAAAACAGAATCATGCAGTGTCTCAATGAAGATTTATGCACTCTTTTCATAACTTGCTTCTCTGCAGTGGAATGTTCACTATACAAATTTTCCAAAGATGAACTCAGACAGAAAAGCTAGCATATCAATATGGAATACATTTTCAAGGTCACAAATAGAATTAATTCATTAATTAATTAAGCCTAGAAAGTCTTAAAAGCAGAAAAACTTCGACAGCTTGAATGCTGATTTGCAGGTGGAACTTAAAGAATACACTCATATCTGTTTGGTTTTTTTTTTTATTAATGTCATCAACAAGAATTTAAATTTCCTAGTTGTTCTCTAAGGGTAGCCAAAGGCTGATCATGGTCTTTACTTACTATAGTTTTGAGATACATTTATGATCCTAAATACTGGTCTGAGTTACCAAATATATCTTTTTTAGAGCATTACAAGCAATTATTCTGACTTTATGATATATGACATTGGTTTGTTAAAGGAAAAAGTGAGTTTTGTAAGTAGCTGGAGTAAGTTTGATCCAAATGGAATACGGACAATGCCTTTTCTTTGTTTATGAAATCTGTAAACATTCTCCACTTTCTTTCTTTTTCTGTGGGTTTTTTCATGTGCATATGTAAGGATGCTGGGGGAATCAATTAAACAAGCTCGGCAGTTGGCTAAATTGCTTTAAGTTTTACCGATGAGCCGAAGTAAAATTTTCAGCTGGCTGCCCCTTAGGGAAGAGGATGGCAGCACCCATAAAGCAAGAAAGACAACACAACAAAAATCCAACTAATGAAGTAATCCTTTAAAGAATGCAGAGTGCTCACTTGAAGCTGATAATTCATAACTTGTGAAGATCCTGCTTTTTTTTTTTTTTCTGCTTTGCACTGTGTGTAGAAGGGCAATGCATAGCAATCACAATGTATCAGTACAAAAAGGGGCTCCCGAATTTTTAACCTGTCAGCAACACAATGGTGTCATTTGGAGAGGGAGGGTGTATTTTCACTAGTTAACTTCACTACTGAACTCTCAGAGTGTAGGATAGGCTTCAGCTGCCAGAAGAATTTCTGGGAGCAGTGTCTGCTGGATTCAGCAGTTCCTATAACACTCTTAACACTGGAAAACAAACAGGCAAAGCTGGAGCTCCGAATATGCCCAGAAGAACCAGACACAGTTGGAATAACTGAGGTATGATGAAACAGTTTGAGTGGCCACTGTGCAGCAATGGACAGATATAGATAGGTTCATGAGGAAAGATGAGGAGGGAAGAAGGAAGGTTGTTCTTCACGTCAAGAAAACTGTTGGAAGGTATGGAATGGACAAGCTGGTTGATGACATGTGGTGACCCAGGACCAAAGCGTGGATGACACTGTGATATGAATTTGATACCATGCAAAGTCAGGAGAAGGAAGTAGATTGAGCCCTCTTTAAAGCAAGATCCTGGTCCTGACGAGAGACTTTAAACCTCTCAACAATAGAGAGAAGTAGAACACAGAGGGTTGCAAGCAAACCTGGAGATTTTTGGAAGGGACTAGAACAAATTCTTATCACAGAAGCTAGATGGGTCAACCAGATATGACACTCTTTGGATTGAAACTAACAGAGAAGGACCTAGTCATAAATAAGGTAATCAACAGCAGCTTTGGCCGAGTGCCTGTGAAATTATGTATATCAAATTCCGTCTATCCACAAACAGCAAGTCTAAGGCTTCTCTCCTCATTGGCTCACTGAGTGCTTGTGACAAGAAGTTATATCCTACAAACTTCAAGAATTTCCCAGACCTGTTTGTCACAGCAGCATGATATTCCCAGATGATGTCTGGAAAGGTGAAATGTCCCATAAGGACAATGCTACCAAACCGTGAAATTTCTCCTAACTGCCAATAGAAGAACTCATCACTGCTTACATCCTGGCTCGGTGACCCACTACACCATCTCCTTTGTTTTCCATCCTCCTAATAATCACCCAGAGGCTCTCAACCACATCATCACTAACTCTATGGAGTGTATAATCAAACTTCTCCCTTACTTATTGTGTGTCACCTTTACAACTCACACTACTCCAGACAATACTATAGTGGATGAGTATTAAGTTCTTCAGTAAACTTACTACACAAAATAAAAATAACTCTGAAAAGGCTGAAAAAAAGAAAACTCAAAAATAGACATATTTTGCTTCTCTTACATCACTATAGTCTTATGGTTTTATGACAAGTGATTTATGCAAGACATTATACAATTTTGTACAGTAGTCTCCCTAATACAACTGCTTAATCTTCAAACTTTAACACAGTTTTCATACAAGTCAAAATACCAGCAGGAGACTTACAGTTATTCCAAATGAAAAATATAGCTGTGCTGGATTTGGGAAGGCTTTTGCTTTGCTTTATGAAGTATTTAAAAATTAGTAAAAAAACCACACCTCACTTCCATCTATAGAAGATGACTTACCTTAGCCTCTAAATCTTAGCAGATAATAATTACATGTAAATGTCCTCCCTCTGCTTGAAACTGAAAATGTAAGAGACAAAACTTGGCAAAGTGTTATTATCACATTGCCTGAAACACAAATAACATTGTGTCACACACAGCATCATTTTAGACAATGGCATTGTTGTATAATAAACCACAATTTCATAATCAGAAGTGTGTAGCCGAGTTGTCAAGAAAAGCGAAAATTAGAACTTATGAGTACTATTCCTTATTCTCCTACTGACTTGACAAGTCTCTTTCACAAGTAAACAGTAGCTTCATTTCCCAGAAGCAATGACCTCCTTTTTCCCCATGAAGTTCAGTAAAGATCTTCCACAAAACCTTTGAGCCATTTTTCCAATATGTATGACCTTTCACCCACCAGATTTTAGTTATTAATAAATAATACACACGGTAACCGCTCACACGCAGTTCTTCATGTACACAGGCATAGACATATATAATATTTGTTTAAATTAAATTAAGATTAGCTGTATTACCCAAGCTTTTCTTAGTATTTTAAACAAATGTTAGGCACTGCTTAGCTCTCAAATCCTTGCCTTTTGTACAGCAGGAGGTAATATGAAATTTTATCTAGCCTTAATATGGGCTTTAGTATAGCTTCAAGAGGACATTTAGACTTTTAGCAAAACTCTAAAATAATAATGAATATTTGTTTATGGTTTCAGCTGACTCTTCAATATTATTTTAGTCTCTGGATTTTATGGCAAATACTTTTTTAAGCAGCGCCTTTTTAACATGGGTCTCATTCCCAACCCTATGGGAATTCTGTTTTATACTTTTAAGACTGCTAATCACGCACATATAAAGTACATTTTATTGACCTACTTTTGTTCCAGCTCATTAAAGACAGCTGCTTTCAAAGGCCAGGAAAAGCAACATGCAAAGAACCCAACTGACTAGTTGTAGTTGTAGTTCCCATATCCTTCAAGATCACCTTCATGCATAAATGTGGCATTTCTACATACAATGACAGAGGTATTTTTTTCTCCTTTAAAGATACACAAACTACATATAACAGCAGCAAAACTAATTATATAAAACAATGCATGTGTTTTGAGCTAATATATATTCAAAATACAGACACAGGGCAGTCCCCAAATGAAACAGAATTACAATTTGCATCACTTACTGATATAAGGTTGCTTAGTTTTTATTACTACTAAGAAGAGGAAAAAATATCAATATGAATGGTACAGCCTTTTTATTTTAATACATGCAATGAACACAAGGCGAGTATAAGCCCTATAATTTTACTGACTGTAGAGGTAGCCTTCCACTGTATACAAATCCATACACCAGCTAATATTTCTGCTCTTCTTTAGCTAATGATCCTACTCCACCCAAAAGGTGTGGCTCAGCTTAGGACATTTAAACTAAAGTGTTCTTATACGAGCTAGGTCTAAGCTACCACTAAAATAAAGACGTAGAGGCAATGAATTAGAGGTATTTATGCAGCTTGTTCAGAAATCAACACCAATACTTGATGATAGCTGATTGGCTCCTAGATGCCACAGGCTGCACTGGCTGGGCATTGTGCTTGCCCACCAGGAGCATCTGAGGTATGCCAAAGGTATCCCACCCACCACCCACTGCCCCTCCAGGAAGATGTAAATCTCCCAGAGGTATTGTATCTGTTGGCCCCATGAGACATTCTGGAAACCCTAAGGAAATTCAAATGGTGCCAGATGCCTACATTTGAGCAACCAAATTAAGCTTTATAAAGGCAACTTTGACACCTATTTTCATAAGCAGACACTTACAAAAAGTGTCTGTGCTGTATGTGTGCACGTGTGTGTCTTCTACACAAACACATTGCTAAGTGCCATCAGAAAAGGTTTTAAAATATTTTTACATCTTGCCTCAAAAGAAGGCTTAATACAAAATATCAGTAGCAAAAGTGACATTTCTTTCCTCTTCATATTATGTTTTCAGCCTACAAAAACCTTTAATCACACCTAAACCTTCTAAAATACTCATTTTATCTCCATTTCTTTTGTCATTGTCAATTCAGGATAGATTTAATGTTCGCAGTTATTTGTTGCATGTATCTCTGAGACAAGTGTTACTCAGAGCAAGTGCTACAAGAGCTACTCTGACACTCGAACAGGGCTCCTTGAGGGCTGGTGTCTTCCAGGCTGCCCACAGCAATGCAACTCCTTCGAAGAGTGAAAGGCTGCTGACCATGCAGTTGTACTGCACCTCCTGCTGCCCACTGCTTGCAGGGGCAGCAGCAGAGAAAGGAATTCTTTTATTACTCTTATAATTCAGAAATGGCTTTTGCTTCAAACAGGAAACATAGAAAAGTCAAAAGAAAGAAATGAGAGTGAGTGGTGGTATAAAAATACAGGGGAAGGGAAATCAGAGGAGCACAGCAAAAGAAACATACATAAGGTACCGTACAGTTCTCTCCTCTCGAGGCGACACGTTTCCTCCCTATCCTAGTACACAAGTAAATGTATGATAGTCAAAATAAATGACCATGACAGAGAAATTGTAATAGTTAGACTAGGATATGGAATATATACATATATTCATACACATATAAACAGATACCATATAATTCATACTGATATTATTCATACAAATAGCACAAAAAAATTAAGCCACTGACAGGGCTTTAACTCAGATTTCACTTTCTAGACAGTTCCTGTCTAATTAGGCTTTCCAATTAAAGTGTTTAATTTCTTTTTAGCAAAGACAATTAAAAATCTTTAGCCAAGGACACCACAAGAAGACAACAATGCATGTTGTCAAAAGTACTGGTAACCTTATAAATATAGTATGTTGATTTTTAAACTGCACACTACAACTGTGTCAAGTTTAGAATTATCTGTCATGCTTTAAAATAGTCATTAAAAAGCTGTATTTTGAAAGAATTCCTTTAAAATAAACCCAGTATGCCTCAACTTGCAGAGTTAATAAAAACTACACAGATTACCTTAAAAAAAGAAAGAGGCTATTGATATTTTAAAGTGAGGGGGACACTAATTCAGCTTTGCATTCAGAAGTCATTTTCTGTCAAGAAAGTATTGATACACATTTACTAGCTGACTGTCATCCAAACATGAACATATCTTAGAGATATGTATATCGCTGACCATGAAAATAACTCCTTTTTAATTTTGTGATTAGCATCACTGAAGTCAACAGAGGTTCTCATGAAGCTGGAAACAAACCTCAGATCTAAGGAGGTACATCTTATTACATACAAGCTTTGCAACGTCATTTGGTACGCTCTTCAAGAAAAAAGTTTTGTTGTTGATACAAATGCTAGATATACTCAAATTACTATTAAGACATTACTTTCCCGCGAATTTAATTCCATTACAGCGACAGGTAGATATCCGGCAGAGAAAACTTGCAGCCCCACCGCTTGCAGTGGTGTAATTCTCATTTCACACCAGAGCAACACCACCAGCCCCAGACGCCGTTCGGTGGCTCTCCCCTGCCTTCAGGGTTCGCGCTGGCACCGCTGTACCTGTGCCTGCCCACGGGCGGCTGGAAGCAGGGCGAGCCCCAGCTGAAGTTCGCTCTCCTGCGCGATACGACATGGAAGTGGGTGGGCACAAGGGGGTTTTAGGCAGGTGTCAGGGTGCTCCAGTGCCCGCAGCCCGAGAAGAGCGTTTTCTCTCTTGAGTAAGGGGGCAGGCACCCCCGCAGCCACCCCCGATGTCGCTACGGAACCCGTTCCCCCCGCCGCGGGTGACCCGAGGCGCCCGCGGGACCGCGGCCCCCCCGCGGGCATCACCCTCCCACCGCCGCCGGCGGCACCAAATTCAAACCCGCCGTCCCCCACTGCTCCCAGTGCCTCCTGCCCCGCCAGCTCTCCCTTACCTGCCCGCGGGGACTCCGGGACACCGCCCAGGGGGCCGAGCCGCCGCAGCTGGAAAACTTTCTGGACCGCATCGCAGCTCGGCGGCGGCCAGGAGCAGAACGCCGAGGCTCAGGACGCCGAGGCTGAGACTGTTCCCCCCCCATGGCCCGTCGGCAGCTGCCGCAGTCACCGCGGCCGAGGCGCCCCCAAGTCGCCGAACGGGGGGAGGCTGCGCCCCGCCCGCCGGCCCCGCCGGGACCCGCCCCCGGCCCGGCCCCTCCCACCGCCCCCCCGCACCACCGGGGGGCTCCGCCGCGGGGACAGCGCGGGGGGGTCCCAGCGCCGGTGCCGCGGTGCCTTCGCGTCGCCCCATCGGGGCTTGGAGGTGGGCACGGCCCGTTTGGGGAGGCGAGGAGACCCTCACCTATACCCGGGGTGCCGAGGGTGCGGGCTCCGGAGGAGGAATCCACAGGGAAAAGAAGTGATGTCATGATATGTGAGCAGTAACTCCCAAAAAGCACGCAAAAAAGACAGACTTAATTTGTAGAGCTTTGGCAAACTACTTGCAACAGGCTTAACACTGCCAGTAAAGTACGCCACTCAGATTGGCTTCAAATGCCAGACTTTTGCTTTTCTGACAGAAGTCTCCAAGAATTCAGCGCTCTTCATGGTATCTTCAAAAGTTTCAGTTTCATCAGGCAAAAGTGACTAAGGACGAGTTTACAAAATCCTCTCATGTCTACAAGACAAAGTGCGATGGTATCTGCTAGAGCAGCCAAGGAAGATGGGAATCATCAAGTTTATCTTTAAAACAGCATCAAGAATCCCCTCCACGCACAAATGTCACACCTTACCCATTGGAGCCAGAAATTCTTCTTAGTGTGTTTTGAAGCTGCTAGTGGTCATTCAGCACTGTAAAGCATTAGGCTTTCAATTTAAAATAAATCTTTGATCTGTGTCAGCAATTTCAACACAGGACTGCAAAACCAGTTCTAAGTGTGATTTATTCTATGCATTCATTTGAATACAGTTAACAAATTGACACATAAGTTAATAAAACTTGTACTAGAGATCAACCATTTCACTGCTGAGCACAGCAATAAAAGAATGGCATTAACATTATCCAGTCTACTGAGTGACAGTTCATAAGAAGGGGAGAGGACTAATATTTCTCTTTTCTGAATCATCTGTACTCCAGGACTTGGCAACTTCCTTCTGTCAGCAAGCTCCAACACATATTACATGAACTGTCCTTTAACACAATCTGTTCTACTGCTCTTATACCTTGATGTTTGAAGAGTGAACACGGCTGACAGGTTACAACCTTCTTGATAAAGCAAACTACAGCAAAAGACATTTTAGGCCCCCATGAGGAAAAAGGGGGAAAAAAGAAAACAGTGAGTCCTCCTGGAAAGAAAAAGATTTGGTTTAGATTAAAAAAAAAAAAAAGAATAAAAATGCAATACCTTGAGTGGAAGCTGGTAGTAGGAAGTGAACCCCTTGTCAGTCAGTAAAACACTTTTCCTTAAACAAAACACTTCTTTAAAATATTGAAAAATACACCAGGGAAAACAACATGAATACGGGAGCCAGAGAACATGGGATCTTATTCAGCAACTTGAAGATGGCAGAGCAAATTGCGGGAATGATGAAATGCCATTCTCAACATCTAGTACAAGATAAATATGTGAAAATAAAGTATTAGGAGACATGAAAAAATTCCTGCAGGTTAATAAATTTTAAGATAAGTATTCCTACTTAATAATAAAAAAAATAAATACAAGTTTCTCCTTTACCTCACAGCTACACCGAAGTTTGCCTACAGCAGTAGATGATGTTGGGCAATCTCTAGAATCCCATGGCTTCAACTGGAACTAGTACTTCCTTGCATCTTCTGCTGGTATCAATTCAGAAAAACCTCTACCTTCCAGCTCTACAGGCTAATGGAAAAGGGAGGGGTTTTCGGTAAGAAATTGAATATACGTTTTAACTAGCTCTTTCCAGACAAGGAAGATTCTAGTTTAGTCCATAAGGTGAAGTGGGCTTTTGTTTGTTGGGGAATTTGGGGGTTGGGTTTTCAATTTTTTTTTTCTTTTTTTAATAAATTTAGCATAGCAAGTGTGAAGGAAACAATTAATTCTCATTTAATTTTCTTGCAGGTTTTAGGCTTCAAAGTTTCCTTGGGTTTAGTGTTAAAAAGGTATATTTTAACTAACAAGTTTAATGATCCAATATTGTGGAATATAGTTTTGCATGTTTTTAATCATATGCAGAAGAAAGGGACTTATTTTAACATGATTGTGTATCTGTATATATATAAAGTTTATGAGAGATCATTGACTGCAGACTTATAACTTCTTGACCAAAGCTTTAACACATGCTCTTCGTGGCTCCTCATGGATATCTAGCTCACAGCTCAAGGAGACTAAAGAATACACCTAACACAAATTGTCCCTTTGCCTCTTTTCCTTAATCATGAACAATACCACTGTATTACCTGAAATGCTGGCACAATGCCAGAGAAGGTTATACCTTCAATTTATTGCTCTAAATCACATCAAGCTAAAACGAACCTTTTTATTATTTTTGGTACACGGCACTAAGTTTCCTGCTCATCTCCTTTGGACTGTCATCTTGTAGCTACTGAAAAGGCTTTATATGCCTGTGCCATCTTCCCTGTTTGCATCCCTTCACAGAGCTACTACAAAAATAACCCTTTCCAACCTGTCACTTTGACCACATGCACTTTTGTCACATTCTTTGTTGTGCCAAACACAAGTCACTTGGCTTTAATTGCATATCCTTTTACTGTTCCTGTGTCAGGATGCAAAGGGGAGTGTTCCAGCTTCCAGAGGACCTGTCTCCACCTCCAACTTCTGAAACAATGAAATGCTTTCATGCTATATCCTATTGTGTCTCATGTATCTGAAAGTAGTTCAAATGTTCATGAAGCTGCCTCATTTTTCCAAGTCACCCTTCAAATCTTTCTTTACTGCAAATCTTTTTACTATTATTTTGATATATATCACAGCAGTTAAGGAAGCTTTTTATTAAGAACACAGACTGTTGTGTTGACTAGTATGTTCACACCATGTCCCAGTGGCAAATTCTACCTATCTACTTCTGGTCTAATACATGTTCTCTGTAAGTTCTTAGTTCCAATACTATCCTTTTGCTTCTCATACAGCTTTAAACAGAGTGGGGATCCTAGCACTCAAATTGAGTTTCTTGAAATTATAGTAACAGCATGGGGGGGGGGGGCAGGGGAAAACAAGAACAAAACAGTTCTCTTATTTTAGGTTGAGATAATTAAGCTAGTCAGCTAAGACTAAAAGCTACACAGCATTTTTGTCACACAGTCCCACGCTCTTACCAATGACCCTATAAACTTAGTGAGGCCAGTAAAACTTCACACACAACTCTAAGTTTAATTCATCTAATAGTCCATTAAATGTAGAGCTGAAATAGAGTTGATACTAGTCTTGCAAAAGTTTGACCTGATTTGGAGATAAATTCTCAAAAAATGTTGGTTAGGTTTTTTTAGTTCTTTTAAAAGAAGGAAAAAATTATGAATTTTAACTGAAAATCTTTTTGAAATCTTAATGAGAAAACAGTATTTTGTTTCATGCTTGCAGTGACAAGAGTTGCCAGCTGAGACGTCAGGGAGGGACAGATGAGAGAGAGAACACTGAGGAAATAGATGCAGACCACAGAGAAGTATTTTACAATCATAGAATAGTTTCAGTTGTTAGGGAGGGACCTTTAAGGTCATCTAGTTCAACTCTCCTACAATGAGCAGGGACATCTTCAACAATCACAGACAATCAGCGCTGCCTCCTCCCGCCCCCCAGCGCATAACAAATGTTATTCTACTATTAACTTATATTGCAATCTAAACTTCAGTGTGACGCCTCCCCCGTGCATTACGGCCCCACCATCCCTTCCGTCCCAGCTCGCGGCCTCTCCGTAACTCCCCGTATGTTCTCCATCTTCCCGGTGGAATCACCCAGCCGCCGTGTCCCAGGGAAAGGTCCCTGGCAGGCAGGCAGGCCGCCCCGAGGAAGCGCTGCTCCCGTGCCGCTGCCCGCTGACGCTGCTCCCAGGGGGTCCGGCAGGGCCGGTGCGCGGGCAAACACGGGGCTACCGATCGCCACCGGCTCCAAGAGTGCACCCTCGGCTTGGGATCACAGCGGGGGAAGGCCACCCCCAGGGGGGAAAGAGTCCTCCCTTCGGCCCCCGCACCTCCCCCCCCCCCCGAGCTCTAAAGTGAAAGAAAAAGGGGTGTAAAAGCACAGCCCCGGGATCCTGCCTGCGCAGACAGAGCTTCAGTTCTTCACAGTAATTCTAAGTTCAAGAATTCGTTTCAGAGTACTGTACGCAGAAGTTAATTGCATATCTATTTTCATAAAGTTTTTATTTATTTAATAATTTGTACCTCAAACATAGCTCAGCAGTCAGCCATGTACTTTGAAAAATATTTCTCCTTACTGCTAAGTACACTGTTTCCATGGAGACTTCCTCAGATATTCTAGGGTGAACATTCAATCTCTTGTTTTCTTTTCATTTTAAAAGTCAGGGCAGACCTATGCACTCCTAAAGGTCAGTAAAGGTTTAAAGTTTCCATTAATAACAACTTCTAGGCATCTATTTTTAGATCACTAGGAGCTACATGCTACCTGTGTTGAGCAGGTGACCTACCTCACCATTAGGTCCCATGTGAATTGACAAACTAAGTGAAAGAATTCCAACCAAATCTCAGGTTCAGACCAAAACACAGTAAATCTTATGTAAATGAGTATCAAAGAAAATTAATGCAGACACATTCCTTTTCTTCAATACCATTCATGCATTCAAGATGCAAGTGACTGGCTGTCTCTGTCTGCTTGACACAGATCCAAAGTTTCCCCACCTTTCCCAGGTGAACATATGAGATATTAATGTATTTTTAAAGTGACAAGGCTATGCAGTGAAGTCCCTGATGTTATCTTAACATGCACTGTAGTAGTTGTAGCAGCTGGTCTGGGGAAGACCTGAACATGAGCATACCAAACTGGAGTACAGGAAGGAGGGAGCACTGGGCTCCAATCTCTTTCTACACAACCAAGTATTTAATCTAAAAGCGCTAGCACTGATCTCTTTTTGCCTTATAAATACAGAAGATACAGCCACAACTTTCTATTCAAAGGCTGTTGAACTTCTTCCCGAACTATACACTGCTCTAAAGCAGGACACAATTTCCATCAGCACACAAAAAAAACTGATGAACTTGATAATGAAATTCACAATACAATGTCAATTTCCAATCTTATATTTAATTTTTTAAAAATAAAAATCATGGTGTATAAAGATGTTAATGTCTATATGCCCATAAGA